TTTTTTATATTACAATTTTTTTAAAAAAATAAAAGGTTTAAAAGGACCTGCCCTTTTATTTTAGGGCTTAAAAGAGCTGGCCCTTTTATGCTTGAATTATCAGTTTTTTTTTTAAGTAGAGGCTTGACCCTAGTTATTTTTGGGCTTAAAAGGTCCGGCTCAACAAGCTCAACTCTAATTAACAGCTCTAGCTATAAGGCTATTTATCTCCTATTGTTTGGTTTCTTATACATGCATACAAATGATATAATGTAGCATTTCTAAAAAGGTCAAATTGACCACTAAACTTCAAGTCCAAAAGTATTAGAATCCTGTCATTTTTTAAGTTTGAAAATTTATATTGTGAAATTTTCAAGACTAAAAGTATCATTCACGGATAGTAGAAACTAATCTAGGAATGAACGGTAATAATCAAGTTTGCTGCTTATTTGAATTTGTTCCTCTTCTCGCGACGCTTTTATTAAATTATTTTTAATAACATCGTATAATAATTAGGACCTGTTTGTTTAAAATTAAAAGATAAGTGATTTTTGTGTAACTCAGAGATTTTATAAAAAGAAATTTATTTTATAGAGATTTAAAAAAAACAGACATTATTTTATGTTTTGTTATAATAATAAAAAAGTGATTATTAGTTAGTTATTTTTAAATTTTATGATATCTTCCTTGATTTTTGTTTTATAAAAATGACTTATTATTATATTATTTTAAAATTTTATAATATCTTCACATATCCTACCTTTTGTAAATCATTCTTTCTCATCTACCACATTAGTTTATTTTAAGTATAATCAGAAATCTACTCTTTTTCAAATTCTGATTAATTTTTTAAAAAAATAAGTGATTGTTTTTTGGAAATAAACTAAAACAAACTGCCCTTAAACAAATGGAGCTCAAATGCAAGCTTGTTAAGAACTTCTATTTCATCGACAATACAGTATATATTATATGTTCTTAGCTTTGTACGCCACATCGAACATCTTCTTAACAAGCGTAGCGATAATAACTTGATGAAAATAACTAGTAAATACAAAATTAGTTTATAAACAACATATTTTAATCAATTTATCCTTCTTAAATACCCAAAATTTTAAGTTCAAAACTTAAGATATTACAACATGTAGCCCTCATTTTTTGCTAATTGAACTTAAATGCTCTTGCATTTATTATATGCAAAATTAAATATATATATATATATATATTGTTTAAATATATACATATATATATATCAAATAATATATTATTAGAAATATATACATATATATTTGATTTTCATCTATTAATATGATAAAATAATTTATATGAGTGTATATATATCATATTTTAATAAAATATTATTTTTGTTGTGGAAAATATTATTTTTGGTCGGTAGGAAAATGAACTTAAAATGAAATGATTTTTAAATATTAAATAATTTTATTATAAATATTTTAACCAATTTTAAAATTTTATTTTTATTTTTTAAATGAAAATAATTAAGTATATAATTTATTTATAAGTATGTATTACATTAGTTTACGTTAAACATCTTTTACTTTTTTTTCTAAATTTTTCTCAAAAATTAATAAATAAATTATTAAACTTTTATCTTCTCTCAAGTTAAATGCTTCCCCTTTTTCTATTAAAAATAAATTTTATCTAAAATTTTTCAATTATCTTAAAAATATTTTAATAAAAAAAATCTTTTAACCATATAAATTTTGTTAATAGTTATTTTGAGCAATTATTATTTATTATCATTGAGATAAAAACTGGGTCAACATGTGATAAATTAAAAGTAGATGCTAAATTAAAAATATGACTATTTCATAGTAAGAATAAAAAGAATCTTGTTTTGATTCGATTTAAATTAGTTTAGACTTCTACTAAAGTTTCTTTAATGGAGTCAATTTCAAAATAATAGGAAATACTTCCCAATAACTTTATAATTTAAAATAAATAAAATTTAACAAGTTTATGCACAATGTCATTCACAATTCAAATAATAACATAAATTAAAAAAATCAAGTTTACAATTCTCATCCAATAATAATCCCAACAAATTTAACATTGACAAATTAAACAATTTGAGTAAGTTGAAGAACAAGAATTGGATGAGACATCACTGCCACATAATACCCCTATACTTAATGCTTATTTTTGTTAATACTTAATAGTTTTTAACGGTCAAATAATGGTGGACATCTCTATAGCTAACTTTACTTGACGATTAAAGATCGTCAAGTATTCTCCACCTATTTTATTTATTGTTTATTTTAAATAACTATCATATATGGAGCTTCTTATTTAAATAATCCTATGGTAGTGAAAAGTAAAGCTTAGCATACAGAATAAACACTATTTATATACCAAGCCAAACATCAAATACTATTTGCATCTTATAACATCTATACAACTTTAACATTTCAATGCTATTTATGTATGTGTATGTAAATATTTATGTATAAATTAGCCTGATTATAATTTAAAGAAAGTTGTTTAAAATAATTCATAAAATTAATTAAAAAATAATTTATTTATAATTTATATATAACTTAGCCTGATAATGTATACCAGCTTAATAAGGTCATTATTAAAAAATAATTCAAAATAAATTTCTATAATTGTAATTATTAAAATAAGGTCATTATTAAAATACTAGTTTAACAAGATTATTATTATTTAAAGTAATCATTATTGATCTTATATATAATTTATTTTTCATTCTATAGATAAATACTTTTAGTAGCAACAAATTTTGCCGCGAAGAGTAATCATGTAAATTAATTTTTATAAAAAAAATTTAATCTTTCCAATTATTTTAAATTCTTAATTATTTTTTGTAAAAATATTTTTGGTGGCAACAATTTGTCATCACTAAAAGTAATTATATAAATTATTTTTAAATTTTAATTATTTTTGTATAAAAATACTTTTGACAGTGCCAATTTGTCACTGGTAAAAATAATTACATAAATTATTTATAAATTTTAATTATTTTCATAAAAATACTTTTGTCAGCACTAAATGCAATTATATAAATTATTTTTATTTTTTTAATTTTTTATAAAAATACTTTTAGTGGTATTTGTCACTAAAAGTAATTACATAAATTATTTTTGATTTTTTAATTTTTTAATTTTTTTATGAAAGTAATTAGATAATTATTTTTAATTTTTTAATTATTTTTTATGAAAATAATTACATAATTATTTTTAATTTTTTAATTACTTTTTATAAAAGTATTTTTTATCAAAAATTAAAAGTCACCATTAAAAAGAAGCTTTTGACAATAATATTTAAAAGTTACTGTATAAAATCAACTTTGGTGGCAACTATTTTTGTCGCCGGCAAAAGATATTTTATTTTTTGTCTAGTGCTTGGTTTCAACGACTCCAATGTGACTTCTCTGGAATTACAAGGAAAATAAAATAATAGTGGCCATAGTTTTTTGTTTTTAGGGGCTTCGCATAGTATAGGAGTGCAAGTGGCAATCATCTAACCTAAACTCATGGTTAAAAAACACAAAAAAATTCGAGACGTCCAAATCTATCTTCAGATTCGTTTGTGGAAACATGTAGTTTTACTTTAAAAACAAATAATCTTAAGGAAATATTTTTTTTTAATCTCTAAAAAAACCGGATGCAATTTCTCCTTTAACATGTTGGAAAGAAAGAATTACTGTCTGCTTTTAAATATAACGTATATACTACTATATAACTGGAAATATTTGTTTCTAAATTGTTCTCTATTGAGGAAAATATAGGGACTATTTGAAACTGTTTTTATTTTATTGTTCTGAGAATTGATATTTTATAGAATATGTTTTGAGAATTAAAAAAATAATAAAAATAATAAAAAAACAATAATCATAGAATACTTAAAAGTTATTTTTATTTTTCTGTTCTCCAAAACAATATTTTATTTTTTTATTCTCCAAAACACTTTTTAAAAACACGTTATTAAATAAATTTTTTTGTTTTATTGTTCTGAAGAATAAAAAAACTACACTGAAAACAGGTTTCCACGCAGGCCCATATTGCCTGGACCTTCACAAAATCATTGATGATCACGTCTCCCAAACAGCTCTCATTAATTTTGGATTTGAGCTTTTCTTGTGTTTGGAACTTACCAAGCTAAGTCCAGACAGAGCGAATCGTAGATTTCAGGGATTTCTTGATCGAAGATATCTCCATAATAATTCAAGACCTGTAAATTATAGACCTATATAACAGACTGTCAACAAAAGAGAGACATGCATATTTGCTAAATTAAATTTTGTTTGGACTTCGTAATTAACCACATTGATGATCGTTGACAGGTCTCTCATTAATTTTGGATTTAAGCTAGGCTGTGTTGGGAACAATGACCGTAGATTTCAAGGATTTCTTGAGCAATGACATTCTCATAATATAATTTAAGGTTAGAGGTCATTTTTATCTGTCAACTATATGCAGAGAGACATTCGGTATCCTGAACTCAAAAACAATATTACTGTCTAAAGTTATAAATATATTGCATTTTTGCTCCTGCCATTAAAAAACAGAAAACATCCATTATCTACAGCAGTGTGAGACTCACATTTATATATAGGTGGCTTACACTTGGCATCTGCATGGAAAACCACTCAAATTTAGATTTAAAAAAGAGGGGGAAAAAAAAAACTCCCCCCCCCCCGGTGTGTGTCTCTATGTCCGTGGCACCAACGGCCTCAACTGAATCAGACTTTAATCGATTGTATAGTTGGAGGATAAAAATGACGTTAAACCCTATACTTTAAGACCTTCCTAAGTCTCAACCTTATTCTTAATCAGCAAGTTGGTCTTTTTTTTCCTCCGTGAGTGAATTCTCCTTTTAACCAAAAAGTGGATGATAAAATCTTAGGGGGAAACATGAAATTTGTATTACAGTTTGAGTTCGACATCTCTAAACTTTCAATATATATATATATATATATGATATACTCGAGCACTAGTTTCGACGTATAGGAGAAATTATTAGCGTTAAAAAGCATTGCTTGGATGTCCTTAAGAATATCTACATGTATTATTTTCCTTGCTTTTCTGTTTTCACCATTTCATTGTGAAGAATGGATAAGTGTTGGTTTTTGGTTTCCAGGCATTCCCATTTCTGAAATTGAATCCACACTCTTTACTCACCTCGTATTCTGCTTTGTTTCCATAAACACTTCATCTTTTGAGACCTCTCTCTCCCCATACATTTCTAGCTTCTCTAACACAGTCAAAGCAAAGAACCCATCCATCAAAACACTTCTCTCAATCCGGGGACAGGAAGGTTATAACTTGATGGTGAGAGATGCTTCTTTCAGGCAAATCTTCATCCAATCTTCGTTCAACGTGGCCAAGACATATGGGTTCGATGGCCTCGACTTTTATTGGGACAATCAATCTGTAACACAGCTTGACATGAACGGTATGGCAACATTCTTACAAGAGTGGCGAAAAGCTGCAAATGATATCAATCCAGAGCTGATCTTAACTGCAACTGTTCGATATTCACCGAACTATACTGAATCTATTATGTATCCTATCGAGTCAATGGAAGCAAACTTGAACTGGGTACATGTCAAAACATTTGATTATAGTACTCCTTCTTCGAGCTCCAAGATCACTGCCGCACCATCAGCTTTGCACGATCCTTCAAATGGGCTAGACACAGAGCATTTTATACGTCAATGGATTGATAAGGGGTTGCCAAAATCCAGAGTGGTTATGGGGTTGGCTTTGTATGGATTTGCATGGAATCTTACTGATCCAGACAAAGATAATGCCAATGGGATAGGTACATCAGCAAATGGGGTAGGAGAAACTCCACATGAGTGGACGGGGATGATAACATACAAGGAAATCAAAGCTAGGATTCAGTCCTCTGCAGGTGATGTACAGTATAATGCTACTTATGTTGTCAACTACTGGTCGCAGGGATCGACATGGATAGGTTTCGACGATGTTGAGGCTGTAAGAGAAATGGTGTCTTTTGCCAAGAGAAACAAGTTGCTTGGTTACTTCTTGTGGCAAATTTCCAATGATGACAATTGGCAGCTTTCCCTCGCAGGTCATTTTTCTCATATTCTACTTGCAAATACGCTTTTATTTTTCTAGAAATGCCCTTTGTTTCAGTATATACTTAAGGCCTTTTATGAAATACTAAACATTAATTATTTCTTTTTAATGGTAGACAAATAATTTTGGTATACTCCTATATATATTTGTTCTTAACTTTCCTAAAATACTTTATATATTAAAGCACATGACATCTCAAAAAGCATCTTATATTCAAAATAGAGATAGTGTGTGTACTAGCTCATCTTAACAAAACTCTTGCAAAAGCAACTTTTTATGCTGTTGCGCTATCTACCTTTAGTGAATCAAGCCCATATGTAAAAGCCCAATGAGAAAATAGGACTTTATCATAATATACAGGAAGTTTGGGTTCTTTTGTGTAATTAAAATGAATACTTAGGGTAATATCCCCTTCTTGAATTGCGAGGATAAACCATCTCTTGAGTGGAGTCAAATATGGGATGCGTAAAACCAGATGAGAACACACTCTTCAATTTCTCTAGAACAAAAAAATCCCTTATCTTGCTCTATTTTCTCTCTACGTATGTGCATTTGATATGTACAAAGAAGCAAGTTCTAACATAACTTCTTTCCCGCATAGTGACCCATACGGTGCGACAAACAGGTATGTTTCCTCTTCCACTCATAGATGCATTGACCAATGCCAATTTTTATAGTTTGTTTTTATATGCAATTTATCAAACTACTTGACTTTTGTTAAGGTGATCTAACAGTATAAACTTTTAAAAAACACAAATAATAGGTTTACAATATGTTTTAATTAGTCCCAATCCATATTTTGGGTGTCTTTTTTGTTGGATAAGGCTAGCACCCAAAAGGAAGGTGAACTAAATGATATTAAATTTTTTTGGATTTTAAAGAAGAGTAGAAGGAGATGATGAGAGATTCAAGGAGGAAAAACTTTAACACCGAAAATTTATCTTGGTTCAGCCTAAAACTTGGCCTACATTTAATCATCAAGGTCACCTTTGAGATATTCAACTATAATCACAAGCTTTAGTGAGTGCTGTAATCTCAGTACAACTTTCAAGACTTGACTAATATTATTTCAACAACAATTCTTGCAACAACCAGCAAGTTGTTACAACTCACTTGAAAAACTCTCTTTTCAAGACTTTAACTTGGTTGTAAAGAAAGATTCTCTAAAAAATTAACTCTTTAAAAACAGTAGATTAAATACAATGAAGACTTAAAAACTTATGAGAGCTTTTTTCACAAATTTTTCAAGAATTATTATATGAATGAATGCAAGACCTTTGATGCATAAAAAGAATATTTTAAAGAATGTTCAGACTTGGTATGATTCACACAATGATAAAAAATATCTCTGTAAACTTGAATTGAGTCATATATATAATTTAGCAAAGTTCAGATTGTTGGAACAGTGAATGTAGCCAATGGTGACATTTCAAGTGTGGAACCAAAAGATTGACACATGAAATGAAGCTTAGCCAAGTTCCAGTCAAGCATATATAACAATTCAAGCATGGACAGAGGATGACTCACACATGATTTATAAGGTGTAAGAATCAGAAAATTTTGTATGACAAATCAGGCATGGATCCCTCTAACTCTCATGAGTGAAATGGCTGGCAGAAAACCAAAGCCATTTAGGATGACAGATCACACATAGAACATTCTAACTCTCATGTGTTAAATGGATGGTCAGAAAATCCAAGCCATTTTAGATGATAAATATGCGTGAAACACTCTTCTACTCAAGCGTGATACAGTTGGTACAGAGCTCAAGCCATTCTGTGAGACAAATCACGCGTGGAACTAATATGCATTTAAGCATGGATAGCATGATAGAAACATTTAGTTCTTTTAGGTGACAAATCATGCTTGAGTACATTACAAATTAAGCTTGAATTGGCTTTAAACTCTCTTAAGCTAGAAATGTGTTCAAGTGAACAAGTGACAAATCAAGCGTGAAAATTCTCCTTCCAAGCATAAATCATCATTGCTCTAAATGCAATGTAATGATATGCGACAATTCAAGCATGTGTGCAAAGACCTTTCAAGCGTGAATTGGAGTACAGAAGCTTCAACAAGACAACTCTTATGCATAGGCGACAAATCATGCATGGATCACTTCTAATTCAGGCATGAAACATCATGCAGTATACCTAAAGTGACAAATCAAGTGTGAATCAATCCTAATTTAAGATTGAAACATCATGATGTGTAAAGCTCAACTTCTATGATTCAATTCAAGCATGACTCACTTTTCTTTCAAGCTTAAATTGACTAAAATAAGTCCTAAAATGCACAGCTAAACACAAGTTCCTTCTAAGTGTATGACAATTAAGATCAAAAGACTTATGAGCCTAAAAAATATTGATGGATTCATTTTTAAATTGATAACATGTAATTAAGCTCTCATAGTTTTCACACTAAAAATTTAAAAGAAATAAATAATAAATAACTAAACCTATAGATCTTCTTCTTCTCTTAATTCTTCAAGTTCTTGGAGGTTTTGTCACATCCATGGATCTTAATATCTGGTCAAGTAACAAACACCTCTTCTCTAAGTTTTGTAATAATCAAAACACATGATTCAATATTTTTTTGATTGCTCATAAGTATCCTCCAATTGGAGGCAATCTTATTCGAGGTACAGTCAAACGCTAAATGTAAGCACTTCTCCCAATGGGGATTTGATCCTAAGTTCATCACGTCATGACGGACTAGCCTCTTCTACTAGACCCAAACCAACATTAGTCATATTTTGGGTGCCTTGATTACTTGTTGCGGATCAACATTACACAATATTGGGTCTACTATGTATAAATAAGGGTTGTTGTTGTTGTTTGTTAGGAATAAATAAGGCTGGTTGATATAATATGAAAAGAACTTGAAAGTCTCATGCATATCCTAAAAATTTGTTATTTTTCAATTATTATTTAAAATATTTTTCACCTTTCAGCTAAAGGGGAAGATAGGCCAAGGAAAAAAGACAGGCTGAAGATTATTTTGACTGTAGTGGCTGCATCTGTTCTGCTTTGTAGTGCCATAATCGTCATCCTGTGGAGAAGAATGTTCAAACCAAAGGGTAAATTTTGAGATGCATTTATTCTCCATCCACAATTCTCTCTACCCACTTGCCATTATCATTTCTATCTAGATAGGGACAATTAACGCTGCCAAAGAATCTTCATCTAAAGCAGATATAGTAGTGAGAAAAATTTTATGACAATGTTCATGATTTACTAGTCTTTTCGTTCTCTGATATTGAAGAGGCGACTCATATATTCTTGAAAATATCCTTTTGATTTTTTACGAAGATGTATTCAATAAAACGTTGACATCTGAAGACAAGTTCCATAAAACGTTGCCATTAAAAAATGTCCTTTTGATTATAGCTTCTGTATCAATTCTCTATTCGGTGTCAGAATTTACATTCTAAGAAGGGGAATGTTCAACTTACATGGAAATTTTTTTAACTACGATTATTATCCTGCAAAATGTTTTACATTTGATCTCTCTGTCAATTAATTGTTCTTAAATATGAATATAGGGAGGAGAAAAGCTGTAACAGATTCTGCAGAAAATTTTCCAGACAACACTGTTCATTTGAAAGTCTTTTCATTTTCTGACATTGAAGAGGCCACAGATAGATTCTCAGACACAAATATGATAGGAAAAGGTGGTTATGGTACTGTTTACGAGGTAAATTTGAATAAAGTTAAAAAAAAGAATTGGCGTACAAAACTTATCACATGAAATTACTCTGCCAGGAATCGTTTTGAATTGTTTCCCTTTGTCCGAAATTTGAATAATGCATATATCTCCAGGGCATACTACAAGATGGTCAAAAAATAGCAGTGAAAAAACGATCACAAGGTTCAGCACAAGGATTTGAGGAATTCAAAAATGAGGTAACAGTTACTGCAAGACTACAACATGTAAATCTTGTTCAGTTGCTGGGTTTCTGCACTCATAGAGAAGAGCAAATGCTGGTTTATGAATACATGCCAAACAAAAGCCTTGACTCCTATCTCTTTGGTTAGCAATTCTTATACCAAACTTTAATTCTGCACACAAGTCAGTATTAAAAAAATTGAACTCTATTTTTTTTTTTTTAAACAAACCGACAAAATGAGCTTCCTCTCAGTAGTAGTTGTTTTGAGGGTTTAGGACGGAGCTAACAGTGTACTATTTAATTTTGATATAGATCCTACAAGACGATGTTTGCTTGATTGGAGGAACCGAGTTGACATTATTGAAGGAATTGTTCAAGGGCTTCTTTACTTGCAAGAATACTCAAGAGTGAGGATAATTCATAGAGATATAAAAGCTAGTAATATTTTGTTGAATGATAAATTGAAACCAAAAATTTCAGATTTTGGCATGGCAAGAATATTTGCAAAAGATGAACTTGAAGCAAACAGTTGCAAGATAGTTGGAACTTAGTGAGTGTGTTTGGCTTCTAATTAAACCCCTACATCTATTCTTGATCATGTCAATATCCATCATCGTTCTTACTTTATTTATTGTTATTTATTTTTGATGCAGTGGTTATGTTCCTCCTGAATACGTGAAAAGTGGCATATACTCCACTAAGTCAGATGTGTACAGTTTTGGAGTTCTAATTCTTCAAATTATAAGTGGAATGAGGACAACAAGACTTTATGGTGAACATGAAAATTTATACCTTGCAGGATATGTAAGTAATTAACTTCAATTTTGCAAGAATTGTGGAGTAATTCTTATATATACATATATCTATCATATACCAAAGTTGAGCAGCTTATTATCATTTGTGGACTGAACCAAAATTGAGGGAGGCATGCCTATATATATATATATATATATTAATGTTTTGATTTATTGATCTTTTATACATCGATCACTAACTTCCCTGCTAATGTTTTAAGTTGAAGTCTTAATCTCTTGCTGGTATGTCATTATGTTTATGTCGATCACATGATATATATTTTAATGTTGTTAGGCTTATGAATTATGGAAAGAAGGGAAAGGAATGGAGTTTATGGATACTTCCTTGGATGACACATCTTCACCATGTAAATTGTTACGGTGCATGAATATTGCTCTGTTATGTGTGCAAGAAAATGCAAATGATCGGCCGTCTATGTTGGAAATTTCTTCAATGTTGAGAAGTGAAAGCAGTTTGAGATTCCCTAAGAAACCAGCATTCTCAACAGAAAATGAAGTGAGAGAAGCAAATGATGAAAAAATGCATATCGAAGTGTGTTCAATCAATGAAGTAACAATCTCTGAATTAGTCGCGCGCTAGCATAGCTATTTCTTGGTACGTTAAAATCATATTGTTATACACTACATTATGTGATTTATCATTAAAAAATGTATTGTAAGTTTAAATTATTGGAAAAAAGAAAAGTTGTTATGTCCCCTTGTCCTTCATTATATGCTGCTAGAATCACGTGCACGATTGCCTTATGGTCTCAATAACCAATGTCAAGCAAATCGAATCTGTTCTTATTGGTTGAGGTACTGATTTATGATTATTGATAATTAGAGTAATCAAGCCAGTAGTTACTACTAAATTAATATATTTGTACTTAGATATCATGTTATATCCCAAAAAAAAAAATTGTTTTCTTGCACAAGGTTAGCTTTAAATTCACCTAAGTTATTATTCATGTAGGGGCATGACACTAGTTGATTATTAGTGGATGATGCACACAAATATGTAATGGATTCTACAAGTGTATGATTCTAAAAATAATACATGATAAATCAAAGTCGTTCCTATAAAAGACTAAGTTAATTGATAACTATGCAATAAATTTTTTATTTTTATTTAAGTCAAGCAAAACAAAATTTGAATTTGATTTCACAAAATAAGAAATGAAAATTATAAAAATGTACTAAAATTAAATTTCCAACAACAAAAAATAATTAAGGCAACCTAGAGTGGTTAATCCCTTCTTCACTTCATAGAATATGTAATTACCTAAATAAATTCACTTAATATTAATTTGTTAATCTAGAGTATTAATAAGAATAATTATCTTTTGATTAATTATACCCCTTCTCAAATTAAATATATTATTCCTAACACAAATATCCAAGAGCCAAAAAGTACAAACTCACTCTAATGTGATTAAATGGATCTAGTAGGTATACTCCTATCCTATTGATAAATTAGAATAAATTCTAATCTAATATTATTCAATCTAATGATGTAATTTAAATTTTCCTTTTTCAAGGCAAAACCCAAATCCTAAATTCATACTCAATAGTGATCAATCATTAAGTAGACAAATAAATATAAAATTAAATAAATAAAACTAATATTAAGCTCAAATAAATAATTCAAACAAGCTGTAATTCAAGAATCAGTTCATAGCTACCCTAGATAAAGAAAAATTAACCACCCATGGCTCCAATGACAGCAAATATCAATCATATATACATCAAAACAAAGGGAAGAAGGAGAAGAAATATTTAATCAAAGCAACCCTGAGCTAAACCCTTAATTTTTTACTAAACCCAAGCTTCTTCAACCCTGCTTTGGCTCTTTTTCCTCTCCTTAGACATTCTATAGCTATTGGAATGAAGACTGGCTAAAAATGAGGTCCTTAAATCCTTAAAATTTGCTGAATATCAAACCTATGCGTTTTACTAAAATTTTCTCTACGTTGTAACGAAACGCATTTTTGCTGCAATGAACATGACCTCTGTAAAAAAAATTTCAAATTTGCTAGACTTAGGCTTGGAAAATTTCACCTTTAAGCCTATAAATTCGGGCTCCCTGTATGTAGAAAACAAAAAATTACTACTACAATTGGTCCACTAACTTTCAATTATATTTTCATGTACATTCTCACACAAAACCATTCATTTAATCATATTTTTGCTAATAAATTCAAAGAAATTACTTCTAACTACACTAAAATCACTAATAAATTCAGTAAAATATTAGAAGTTATTAGTGCATCCCATGAAAGATGAAACTACTAATTTGATGATTTGGAGTTGAAAAGTTCACAATGATTTATATCATTGCGTGTGTGTGTATACAGGCCATGACAAGACCCAATGCAATTCCCTATTTCTAGTTAGTAATTGACGATAAAGAAACATCAAAAGTAATGAGCTCTAATAATGGCCAAGAGAATAATAATGCGAAGATTGAGATGGTAACCAAAAATAAGAATCTCTGAAAAGAAGATGGTAGACGAAGAGACTATGGTCAAGCTTAAGAGTAGCCCAAGTTTTAGCCTTCCCCATTCTTTTCACAAATGGCCTAAGAGCTTCCATTTAGGCATGGTAGTCACATTCCTCTAAGTGTCTGTTGATGGTGATGATTGATGCACAAAATGTTTCACCACAAGTATATAAGTTATTAGTGCGTCAATATCGTTCCTACAAGAAATCAAGCAAAATGACAATTAGGCAATAAAGTTCCCACTTCTATTTACATTAAGCAAAATTAATTAAAATCGATAGATTAATTAAAATTGAAAGTTGAAATGAATAATGCAATGAGGGTTTCAATTCAACAACCACGTATGTCCAAAGCAACCTAGAGTTACTAATCCCTTATTAGCTTTATAGATCTTGCTTTTACCTAATTAATTAATTTTAATACCAATTTTGTTAATCTAGAGTATGGGTACCTATAAGGGCCTTTTGAACCTCAAATAACCCTCTTCTAAATTAATTATATTATTTCTAACAGAATTATTTAAGATGCAAACTCAATCTCAACTTACTCTAATTTGATTATATGAGAAATTTAGATATATTTCTACCCTAATTACAAATTAGATAAAAAAAATTTAGCCCTATTTACTCAATCTAAGGGTTCAAATGAGATTTTCCTTTGTCAAGGAAAAACTCAAGCCCCTATTCACATTTAATGATGGCCAAACATCAAATGGACAATTAATTGCAAGATTGAGTAATCAAAATCAATATCAAACATAATCAATAGGTAAAAACAAGCTTTAAGCCACCAATAAGTTCATGGTTACTCTAGGTCAAGAAGAATCAGCCACTAACCACCATTAAAACAATAAAAATCAGCAATACTCAACAAACGATACATCAAAATGTAGAGAAAAGGAAGAAGAAAGCTTCAGAGGAATGATTTCTGTCATAAATTGCAAGACCCAAGTGTTCCTGACACCTCTCCAAATCTTTATCCACCTTAGGATGCTTTTTGGATGTGCAGCTACTGTCAAAACATGAACTAGAATGAAAATAATCTTCATAAATCCTTAAAACACAATTTTAAGTAAAGCTGTGCATTTTGTTGAAAACTAATCTAATGTTGCAACATTTAAGTTGGTATTGCAACATTATTGGCCAAAATTCAAATTTGATATAGGCTTTAAAATTGTCAATTTTAAACCCATAAATTGGGCGTCCCTATGTGAATAAAACCAAATATAATGCCATAATTGATCCAAAAACTTCTACAATTGTCTTAAACTTTATCCACATCCAATCTCATAAAATTTTTGCTATCTTATAACAATTCACTAAGGTAAACTTTTGGCGTGTGCTGTTTCCACATACGACATTCGATCGGAGTAATTCAAACTCCTGCATGAAGATTATTTCACAAGCTAACTAATGAGATAAGTTTGGATACAATCTAATGATATGATCTAAATTTTAATACCCAAGTGTGAAAAATCACCTTTTCTAAAAAAATTATGCACCAAATTGTTCAAATTGCTCACTTTGTCTCATTAGGCCATTGTAGGCTTAAAACCAAGTCCAAAAGGACCATTCACACCTGATTGACCACAATTCATATCATATAAATATATAAATTAAGATTTGGCTATTCAATTGCCCGTTTACACAAATAAGGGCTGTTTTGCAATATCACCACAACTTACACCGTTGGCCAATTTCTCACACAATCTACATATATGCACTACTTACACATTCACAACATATTCACAATCAAATCTTAGCCAATCCACATAATTCATCACACAATACACATTTACTCACATGCAAGGCTAAGATTCACAAAAATCACGACAAGTCACAATTCAAAACATGTAAATGACATCCTATGGTAACTTAAATCATTTACAAGTATACAAGGGTCTAATTCATTACACAAGCTCTAAAATCATGTGGTAATTGCACAACTATGCTGGTCTAGTGTCTTTCCCTTTATTTAGCTTATTACTTTAACTTGTAAAAATATAACTAAAGGGTGAGATAAAAATCTTAATAATAGAATAACTCACCATTACTAACTATCACAGGTAACTATAAGCCAGTATTGCATATATATACATTCGAACACACAATTTCACATCATAAAACCCTTTTCACCACAAACCATCACCACTATTAACATGATCACTACCATCTGAACCTCTAAATTACCCCGATTGAAACCATAGGCTCTTATTAGGTTAATATACACTCATTGACCTGAGCGCACCTTGAATGATAAAATCACCCAACCAAAGGTATTTTCTCCTATTTTTGAACTATGATTTATCCTATCACACTAATCAAGGTATCGTTACTCCAACATTGCATCACACAGATGCTAAGGAGCTCAAATCTCGAGTACTACACCCTTTATAGACACTAAGAAGATAATCTCTAACACCACATCTTAATAGGTACTAAAGAGATAAAATTTTTCAACACCACACCTATCGGGCACTAAAGAAAACATGCCACATGGTCTTCTCACTACTTTTTCCTATAGGTGAACTTCCACTCCCTATGGTCATCTTTCGTATCAAACACTAGTTTACATTCAAAACCACACACATACACACACACACATAATCACATATTTTCACTTGTTCATTTAACTGAAATCTGTTTCATGCAACAATCATGCATTATCTCAAAACATGCTCAATTTAAAATAATTTCATACATTAGTTATAATACTTTTAAATAGTTATAATAGATAGTTAAATAAAGTAGTTATTCGATTACCTCAATCCTTCTATCACTAGAAAGGTTACTCGTGGGTATCATAACTGCCAATACTTCTCTACAAACTTCCCTTTCTTAATTTACAAACGTAACACGCCAATCTACACATACTTAGAACTATTAGTTAATTAATCAAATTGATCAAAAGTACTTAATTGCTACTAAAAACCACAACTAGCCATTCATTCACTTTCACTTAGTCAAGTTAGATTCATCATCACTTATCCACCACTTTCTATCGTTTCTATGGATCCCATTATACTTCTAAACAAATTTCCACTCCCTTTTTCCTCTTGTTTAGGGTAAAATTCAACTTAGGGATTCAAAGCTTTATCGTTTAACTCCAAACCAATCACAAAACCT